TCATGGGATATATGTAAACCATGAATTTAAATGTTCATCAAAGTAAAATTTTTCAAAAGGCTGCAAAATTTAGCAAAACCATGAAATCAAATATCCACGAAATAACTATTTTTCCTCACTCCATGAAAACAAATGTATCCACAGTACTTTTTCTCATCAAAGTTTTAATTAGATTCCCATACAAAAGTTATAGACAAAATTTCACTCTTTTAATTGTGCAGGGATTAAAAGTAAAATCCAAAGGTTGAATGTGTAGACCCAAGGTGAGGAGCCTGTACCTAAGTTTATCAGAATTCCTTCAGGGTCCAACCTAAGTTCAGAAATTCATGCAACCAGTACATGTAGTACTGCTAAGTAGATCATCTACATCAATCACTGCAGGTGCGTTCAACAACAGAACTTGATTTACTGAGGATTGAGTTTTCCGCTGAAGGTCTGTGATTCTCTCTGGACACTCAGGCTTCCTCCTCCAATCAAAACCAGCTGCCACGATAAAGTTCTGAAAGTGGTGTTAAACACCAATGATCAATCTATCAATTATTTGAATAAGAAACATCATAGATAAAACAGGAAAATGCAGATTATAATGTTACATTGACAGCGAATAATCTAATGGCCTTTCTAGGGGGAATAAAGATCTGCTCAAAAGTAAGGAATCTTGACTGTAACATATTATGCTTCCATAAAATCATCAAATCAAAAACTTCAGGGACATTATAACACACCAAAAAAATGGGTCAATAATGTAAATGCTTGCATTTTTGTTTAATTAATGGCCATTGAGGTTCAAACTTCACATTAACATATACACCAATCATTATAAAGATATTCGTGATAACACTTTCTGTTTTTATTAGAGTACATTCACACTTACACCAAGATGTTGTTAAATGAAATTTGAATAAGGCATTTATCATGCTTTTCAATAAGGTATGGTCAAATTGCTAAAAGACCCCCCTCCTATATTATTGAAAACTATCATTCTGCATTGACAGTATTATCTTGGTGTAAATTATAGATACATACTGAAAAACAAATTTTATATTGAAAATGATCATGATGATGGTAGTGAAAAAGTTTTATTTTAAAAAACCTTGAAAATACTATAAACATGATAATTTAATGGCAGTAATTGATGGTTATGAATTGTTAGGCTTTTATGGCCTTGACATTTAAATCATGACATTGCCATAGATAAAAATAATTGTTATGGTCTATAATTAGATGAAAAATATCAGGTTTATAACCTTTTGTTTTGGTAAAATTATGAGGACATATATTTCAGGATATTTGATGTTTGTATCATTTATAAGTTATATAATGAATGATGTTTAAAGGAAAATATTTCTTTTTTTTTGTTGAAATAATAAAACATACCACCATGAAAACCCAGTGTTTAGCAGTGACAGATTCAGTGTTTGAACTCCCTGTCCCAAGCTGGCTTACCATCTTTAAACCATTGTAGACACCCATGTACATGTATTCCTAACCAAGGGAACTAAAACAAACTTAATAATTTTACTACATAACTGCTGCTAAGCTTGCAGAGTTCTCGAAAAAAAAGGTGTTCCAAAGGTCCTGGCCAGCAAAATTTAGCAAAGGACTGACACAATTGTGGTATTTTGCAATATAAATAATAGTGAGGACCAGCAGATTTTCTTCAAGGACCACTAGTGAATGAAAGACTCTGAGCTTGCTTAGTGCCTGTTGAATCTGACGTGACACAGTAATAATATCAGTTGAGTGACTTCCAAATCTGGCTGTAATATATTGTCTTCAAGGACCACTAGTGAATGAAAGACTCTGAGCTTGCTTAGTCCTGTTGAATCTGACGTGACACAGTAATAATATCAGTTGAGTGACTTCCAAATCTGGCTGTAATATATTGTCTTCAAGGACCACTAGTGAATGAAAGACTCTGAGCTTGCTTAGTCCTGTTGAATCTGACGTGACACAGTAATAATATCAGTTGAGTGACTTCCAAATCTGGCTGTAATATATTGTCTCACTATATATACTGTAAATACAGAAATTATTGCATGCATTTATTATTGTGATTTTTAAAGAATGAAAAAAAATGCGAGATTTATCACGGGATTTTATATAAACCTGTTTACAGATATATGTATCAGATATAAGAATGCGAGTTCTTATTATTGTGATTCCCACCCAGTAGCATTATTCGCATTAATAAAAACCTCGCAATAATTTCGGAATTTACAGTAGTCACCCCTTGATGGAAGGCACACAATAATTGACACTTACATTGCAGGGAGGCTGTTGGGCCCCCTTAGTCAGGGCCCTCAGTTTACCAGAATAAACTCAATTCTAATTAGGTTAACCATTGTACTTTTGACTCCCACAACTTTAGTATTGATATGTCATCATATAACATCAGTCATGATGTATGTTACTGAAATGGAATGATTAGACTTTATATGGGTAAGATCATCTTCATTGAAAGCTTCTTTAAATGGATATTTCTTAAACAAGTCTACTTAAATCAGTTTTACACAAGATGGTATAATCTCTCAACTTCTGATCAATACAAAGTACAAGTGTTGTTCTTTATAATTATATTTATCTTCCTTATTATGATTTGTTAAAGATTTTTATAAATCAACTTCAGTTATAGAGTTTGAATAGGTCAATGGACTTACTCAGCAATCTATGTACATGTAACTTATAAGAAAGCTCAAAATATTAGGTTGATTTATTGATTGTTTGTTTGTGTTTAGCACCATCTTAAGCACACTTTACTATATCATGGCAGCCCGTTTTTTTTTAGTGGAGGAATCTGGAAAGACTATTTTGTGCAATTCCCAAAACAAGCTATACAGAATTTCAATGGAGAAAAAACGAAACAAACATTTTTTTTCCTAAATTGAACTTTAACTTAGGGATTGGTGTTAAAAAATATCAAACCCCAAAAAATCAATAAACATATCAGACCCAGCGATTGAACAGCTGAACAGTATGATTATAAACATCATCAATAACTCTATTATTACCAAAAGATACACATTTGCTGGCCATTTCTTAAACTTCTTAGCTTTATAAATGATATTGTAACCCTGAGGAAGCTTGGTATGAAATACCAATATAAAAATAAGAAGATGTGGTATTGATTGCCAATGTGACAACTCTCCCCAAGATACCAAATGACACAGAAATTAACAACTATAGGTCATGTAGGTCATCGTACGGCGTTCAACAATGAGCAAAGCCCATACCGCATAGTCAGCTATAGAAGGCCCCGAAATGACAAATATAAAACAATTCAAACGAGAAAACTTACGGCCTAATTTATGTACAAAATAATGAACGAAAAACAAATATGTTACACAGCAACAATGTTCATTTTTTTCCTTCACATGAACAATATTGAAAAAGGGGAGACTCAAACAGTCAGATTTTGCATGTACATGTCAATGTTTTTAAGTCAAGAACCCAAACAATGGTTGTCATGTTTATATTTTAATTTTTGCCCTTTAAAAAGTTTTGTGATGATTTACTATGTTCTTATGAAAAAAGAAGAAAATATTTGAATGCAGTCATGGTTTTAAATCTTGACATTTATATATAGAAACAGTATTTTTGAAACTGTCAGACTAAATCTTTGATTGTTTATACATTGATCATACAAACCAAGAATTGTCTGATGTCTGGCTCAAAAAGAGAACAGTTCACATATCAGGTAACTGCTTCATAGCTATCTGACAATGTATGATGTCTGGCTCAAAAGGAGAACAGATCAGATATCAGGTAACCACTTCATAGTTATCTGACAATGTCTGATGTCTGGCTCAAAAGGAGAACAGATCAGATATCAGGTAACCACTTCATAGTTATCTGACAATGTCTGATGTCTGGCTCAAAAGGAGAACAGATCAGATATCAGGTAACCACTTCATAGTTATCTGACAATGTCTGATATCTGGCTCAAAAGGAGAACAGTTCAGATCTCAGGTACTAACAACTTCATAGCTATCTTAAAATGTCTGATATCTGGCTTAAAAAGGAGAAAAGTTCAGATATCAGGTAAATTCTTCATATCCATCTGACAATGTCTGATGTCTGGCTCAAAAGGAGAACAGTTCAGATATCAGGTAACTGCTTCATAGCTATCTGACAATGTATGATGTCTGGCTCAAAAGGAGAACAGTTCAGATATCAGGTAACCATTAATAGCTATCTAACAATGGCTGATGTCTGGCTCAAAAGGAGAAAAGTTCAGATCTCAGGTAACTTCTTCATATATATCTGACAATGTCTGATGAGTTAAAAATTATTTCTTCTTGTGGATTTATTTTCACTAGAACTGCAAGTCTTATATCCTGAAAGTTATGGATTCCAAAGGGAATGCTTTATTTTTAATTAATTTAAGTCGGATTTGGATGCAGTTAAATTGATTAAATTTGAATAGTTTCAGCAATATGTGGAACATTTGAATTATTTTTATGCCCCCGCCATAGCGGAGGTGGCATTAAGTTTTACCCTTGTTCATACGTACGTACATCCCAAAATTGGTTTCAGTTCTCTAACTTTAGTTTGCCTCAACCAAATGTTATGAAACATATACACAATGCTTATTACCACAAAACACAGATCAAGTTTGAATTTTGGTGGCATCACTTTTACCATTCTAGAGTTTAATGCCTCTTTACAAATAGAAAAATTGCTGAATTTTTCGTTTCTGTTCTCTAACCTACCGGGTAAGTTTGCCTCAACCAAACTCAGATCAAGTACAAATTTGGGTAGCGTCACTTTTACAGTTCTTAAGTTATGTCCCTTTATAACGTTATATGCAAGTGGGGGCATCATCTGTGTCCCATGGACACATTCCCCATTTATTTTGCATTTTTTTGTGTCAATGTACACTTAAACTGTATCATGTGTCAAATACAATAATTTATCCACATAAATTTTTTGGTTTGTTGGTATCATGCTGCACTAGGGAGAGTCTTAAAGTTTTTATAATTAAAAAATTTTTTTTTCAGAGTTTGATGGTGATACTGTACTTTGTCGAGTATGTGGAGACAAGGCTAGTGGCTTCCACTATGGGGTACATGCTTGTGAAGGCTGCAAGGTAGGTGGCTAGTGGCTTCCATATGGGGTACATGCTTGTGAAGGCCGCAAGGTAGGTGGCTAGTGTCTTCCACTATGGGGTACATGCTTGTGAAGGATGCAAGGTAGGTGGCTTAAGTGGCTTCCACTATGGTGTACATGCTTGTGAAGGCTGCAAGGTATGTGGCTAGTGGCTTCCACTATGGGGTACATGCTTGTGAAGGATGCAAGGTAGGTGGCTCAAGTGGCTTCCACTATGGGGTACATGCTTTTGAAGGATGCAAGGTAGGTGGCTGGTGTCTTCCACTATGGGGTACATGCTTGTGCAGGCTGCAAGGCAGCTGGCCAGTGGCTTCCGCTATGGGGTACATGCGTTTGAAAGATGCAAGGTAGGTGGCTGGTGGCTTCCACTATGGGATACATGCTTGTGAATGATGCAAGGTAGGTGGCTTCAGTGGCTTCCACTATGGGGTACATGCTTGTGAAGGCTGCAAGGCAGCTGGCCAGTTGCTTCCACTATGGGGTACATGCTTTTGAAGGATGCGAGGTAGGTGGCTGGAGGCTTCCACTATGGGGTACATGCTTGTGAATGATGCAAGGTAGGTGGCTTCAGTGGCTTCCACTATGGGGTACATGCTTGTGAAGGCCGCAAGGCAGCTGGCCAGTGGCTCCACTATGGGGTACATGCTTTTGAAGGATGCAAGGTAGGTGGCTGGTGGCTTCCACTATGGGGTACATGATTGTGAATGATGCACGGTAGGTGGCTTCAGTGGCCTCCACTATGGGGTACATGCTCATGAAGGATGCAAGATAGGCTTACGCTGAGCAATGTAGACTTAAGCAGTGCTGAGATAAATGTAGCAGGATACAGAATGGCTTTTTCATGCTTTTAAAGGCTTTAAGTGCTGGTATACTCATTGGCTTCCTATATGTTGTACATGCTTGTAAAATATGCAAGGAAGGTTTAGGCATGGCTGAGATATGTTTGCCTTTTTCACCATCAAGTTCATGCTGGTGGAGGCAACACATAAAAGCTCAATTAGGCAGAACTGAAATATATCTTACAGGTTCATGCTTTTGAAAGCAACAAGGTAGGTTTAAGCAGGTATTCAGATATTTCTAGCTGGATTCATTATTGGTCTCAAGTTGATGAAGGCTATAGGGATAGTTCATGTATAGTGGCTGCCATTATTGTGTTGATGTTAGTAAAGTTGTATGATTATATGAACTTTGTATTGATGTTCAAAACCTGTAATAAAGCAGAAAGTCGGATCATTTTATTTAATGAAAGTAAGAAGTTACCAAGGAGGCATTAAAAAATCTTCAAGTCAAAGAAGGATGGGAGCCAAAAATACAATTAGCATGTATTAACTGAAATCATGGAAAAACTATTTAGAACAAAATCTTGTATTAATTTTCAAATCAATCAATCATTTTCCTCTTTCTATTAATAAAGTTATGTAATATTTTTGTTCAAATTTTGTATGAAATTTGCATGGAAATAATAATTAGATATGGTACGTGATAAAAAAAATTTAAATATGCAGCAGGACAAAATATAAGTATGGGATGTTGTTAATGACACCTGTTAACTTGTAACAGATCACACATATTTTTAAACATTGATGATGGAGAAAAACAAATATCTATAATCTGAGTGGCTTGTTTTGATTGGCTCACTAAACCAGGAAGTAAAACCTGAATAACAATCATTAATTACATAAACAATTTGTATATATATATATATATATATATATATCAATAAAAAGAGAAAAACAGGGTCAACTACTCAACAACAATAAGATCGTTAACACAGGTCTATTTAAGATGGTCCAAGTTTGTTATATTTTAACATAGGTCTATTTTAGATGGGGCAAGTTGGCAGGTCAAGGGGCCAACTTCAATAAAATTGTTAAAACTTGTCTATATTAGATGGGTCAAGTTGGCAGGACTAGGGTACCGGTACACATAAATAAGATTGTTATATTTTAACACAGGTTTATTCATGCTATTTTGGATGGGCCAAGTTGGCAGGTCATAGGGCCAACATCAATAACATAGTTAGCATTTTAATGTGCATTCTATGATGATTAGAACCTTCAAGATATCTTCATACCAACAAAATATTAATCATTTGCTTAATAAGTTATTTGAAATACATATTTAAAAGGGAAACAACTCCTTTTCAACTTCTATTTCAGAATTAACTTTTAAACATTGTATAACTGAATTATTGTATTCTTAGAGTAGTTGGTTTTGTGGGTTGTATTATGTTCAAGGTTTTTGTCAATTCATCTGAACTTTTTTATGTATTAATGTCAGAGATATGGACAGGTAGTCAAGGTCGTTAACCTTGAGACATTCGCAAAGGGGGGTTCAGAGGGACCCTCCTCTGTTGACATACTAAGCATAGACATTCATGAAGGCAGGGGGGTTCAAACGGAAATCTTACCAGAATGGTCTTCATTCTAGTGAACTAATTACTATCTAAACATTTCCAATGATTAATATACCAAAATATCTCCAAGGTCTTAGTGTTATTTACATTATATTGTAAAAGTTATTTATACATGTTAAGTAATTCACTTCACAACACTTACTTATTTGCACAATAATATCGAATTAGATTTTGTATTTTCCTTTAAATAACAAATGTATGCAAGATAATTTGTCAAAAACAAAGAAAGGAAGAGAACTTTTGTAGAAAAACCAGTGATGTCATTTTGAAATTAAAATAACACATACATTTTTTTCTCACCAATCAAATATAAATTTTCATCTAAAATTGTTTGGTTTTTATACGACCGCAAAAAAATTTCGTTCGAAGACACACTGGTTTTCACACTCTAACTTTAGTTTAAGTGAATGGATCTCTATGAAATTTTACCATAAGGTTAAATACCACAAATAGAAGGTGGGGATTGATTTGGGGGTTATGGTACCAACAGTAAAAGCATTAGGGGCCAAAAATCAGCATTTTTGTAATTTCCAGACATAACTTGTGTGTTAGTGTATGGATCTCTCTGACATTGTACCACAAGGTTCCATATCACAAAGGGAATGCTGGGATTGATTTGGGGGTAATTGCCTCCAAATTTTAGGAATTAGGGGCCAAAAAGGGGCAAAAAACAAGCATTTTTCTAGTTTCATGACAATAACTTGTGTGTAAGTGTATGGATCTTTATGAAATTGTACTACAAGGTTCCATATCACAAAGGGAAAGCTGGAATTGAGTTTGGGGGTAATTGCCCAAAACGTTTAGGAAAAAGGGGCCAAAAATAAGCATTTTTCTAGTTTTCAGACCCTAACTTGTGTTCAAGTGTATGGATCTCTCTGAAATTGTACTGCAAGGTACCATACCACAAAGGGAAGGCTGGGATTGATTTTGGGGGTAATTGCCTCAAAATTTTAGGAATTAGGGGCCATAAAAGGGCAAAAAAAACAAGCATTTTTCTAGTTTCATGACAATAACTTGTGTGTAAGTTTATGGATCTTTATGAAATTGTACTGCAAGGTACCATACCACAAAGGGAAGGCTGGGATTGAGTTTGGGGGTGATGAATCATAAGGGGGTTCAAAAAATTTGGGGGGGGGGATTTTTTTTTTCCTTTTTTTTCTTAAAAATTTTCCATTTTAAATTGGTTATTTCTGATTTATATATAAAAGCAAATAATAATGATATGGTTTGAATAGGTAAATTAAAAATTTTTAAGTTCTTAGACCACATTCATTCTGTGTCAGAAACCTATGCTGTGTCGAATATTTAATTACAATCCAAATTCAGTGCTGTATCAAGCTTGAATGTTGTGTCCATACTTGCTCCAACTGTTCAGGGTTCAACCTCTGCGGTCGTATCAAGCTGTGCCCCAGCGGAGCATTTTATTACCATTGTTTTTATGCCTCATGAATAAACTAGTTATTCTTATTTCCCTTCTAAACCTTGGCCTACTTTCCAGTGTTTTTAAAAAAAAATTTTTTTATCAATTATCTGAAATGCTATGTTTTTTTAACTTCTTGTAAATAAGTTTTGAATCACTGGAGGAGGTTGATAACACGTCATTTTATAAGTAATTATCACCATAAATAAGTATTACTGGCTGCACCTTAGAAATCTACGTTTATTGTGCATTTCACACTTGAGTAAACATGGTAAATATGTGTCTATTTACTTGTTGCACCTTATATATTCAAGGTCGCATGTCAATTCACTTATACAAACAATTTTAAAAAGCTAAGAAGATTATAACCTATCATTGATTTTAAATGTTTTGAATACCAGCTGTATGAATAGTTCCAAGAAAGGAATATTTATCTAAACATTGTTATAAATTAGGCCGTTAGTTTTCTCTTTAATTGTTTCACATTTTTTCATGTCTGGGTCTTTTATAGCTGACTATTATGGCATGGGTATTACACATTGGTGAAGGTCGTACAGTGACCTTTATTTGCCTCTTTCTTGGTCATTTGAACTCTGATGGATAGTAGTCTCATTGGCAATCATACAACATTTTTATATCTGGGATCAATATTGTCAAACATTCTTAATTTTCTTTTCTAATGAGTTACTATGTTAGATTCAAGGTTATATAGAATACGTAAGAGTTGATAATAAATTTCATAAACATCATAAACATGATGAAATGAATGAGATATTTACCAACCTCTTATATACCAATCACAAATCTTTCCCCAATGAAGGGTGAACCATTGAATTATTGGAGGTACCATATAAAAATAGGGAGATGTGGTATGATTGGCAATGAGACAACTATCCACCAAAGTTCAAATGAACTTTTCTGTTTCTATGGCTTATTTTGTATTAGGTCAGTATTTTGATGAGATGTAAATATTAGAACTTTTGATCTGTCAAACATCAACTTTTTGTAAGCAGTTTTTTATATTTTCGCCTCACATTTCCCACTGAATAGAATAACGTCATATTTGGTCAGCAGCTTGACATTGAGCGAGTAAACTGGCACACTTTTTGGATCTGTCAGACACCTGGTACTTCCTGTTTCCCCG